TCCCCGCCTCTCCCCAGACCAGCCCTCCCTCCCCGCAGGAGTGAGTTAACGTCTGGGCTGCAGCCGGAGGGAAGCCAAAGCCGGGGCTGCCCTGGAAGGTGCCCTGCCAGGCCCGCCCAGGGAGCCCGACCGCGGCCGGTCTGCCTTCCTGGCGCCTGGGAGGACCTCCCCCTCCCAGTGCCCGTGTCCACCGCCACCTGACACTTGTCACGGGATTTTAACTCCGAGCCCTGTGTCCCCGTCTCTCAAGGCACAGAGGGCACCCGCCAGTGTGCCCAGCGCTGCGTGAGGAGCCTCCCTTCAACCCCAGAACACGGGGAGTACCCAGTCTCAGGACCATTTTCAAAGGAGACCGCCCAGGCAATGAGGTATTTTTCCATGGATGGCAACTTGGCCGGCCCTGAGGGAGCCCCCTGAGCACCAGGTTGGCCCGCCGAGGCAGCCCCCTGAGCACCAGGCCCTGAGGGAGCCCCCTGAGCACCAGGCCCTGAGGGAGCCCCCTGAGCACCAGGTCTGAGGGAGCCCACATACAGGGCTGGCACTCTTGCGAGGCTGGCAGCCAAGCCCTGCTGGACTCAATATCTCTGTCTCCCCTGCTCCCCAGCCACAGTGAGAAAACTTAACCAGACGTACCCCGAGCCCAGACATCTCTCTTCCTCTGTCCCCCACACTGCTAACTAGCTTTCCTCCTGCCGGACAGACGCCCAGCAGCCCCCTCCCTGCCCCTTAGAACTCGCTGCCTCATTCTTTCCCAAACAAGACAGTAACCGCCTCACTTTCTACCATATGTCAGCTTTACCACATGTAAAAACGGGATGTGTGCAATAATGTGGGGGCGGGGGGAGAACAGTTTGTATTACTGCTGCAAGTGGAAAATTGTTAATACTTTTTCCATAAGTTCAAGATGGCCGTAAGAATAAATATGTTAAAAGTAGAATGCTTTAAGCCCAGCTGGTGTGGCTCAGTGGATTGAGCCTGGCCCCATGGACCAAAAGGTTCCTGGTTCCCTTCTGGTCAGAGCACATGCCCAGGCTCCATGCCCAGTAGGGGTCGTGCAGGAGGCAGCCTATTGGTGTTTCTATTGCTCTCTCCCTGACTCTAAAAATCAACAACAACAATTTTTTAAAAAAGAAAACATAATGCTTTGAATAAAAAGTGTCTGCCTGCCAATATCCTATCCGGCCCAGGCTATCCCTCTGGGAACCCTTGTCATCCATTATCCCTGGTGTTCGGCCACCAGACCATGCTGCTCACAGCCTCTTCTACCCCGACTCCCCACTCCCCACTCCCCACTGGCAGTGGGGGACACACAGTTCTCACCAGCATTCATTCGTTCATTCGTTCCTGTTCACTTCCTTTGCTGAGTAGCTCCTCTGGGCCAGAGCTGAGTCTCGTGCTGCTGTGGAGGCAGCACGTCCTAGACCTGCCCTTCTGGAGTTCCCAGACCAAGTCCAGTGGGACAAGGGGCCAAGCAGTGCTAACAGCACTCAGGGCCTAGGTGCCAGGAGCCCTTCTGTGGGCACATCCTGCAGACCAGGACACTGGGGACCTTCCCCAGCAGGGGAGGCACCTGCTAAGAGCCCTGAGCTTCTGAGCAGGAACAGGCCAGCCTGAGAGCTGCCCTGGGCTCTGGGGAGCAGGCCCAGCTTTGGCTAGGAAAGAGGGGGTCATGGGCTGAGCCCTCATTCCTGCAAGGGAGTCCTAGGCAGTGAAAAGAATGGGGACCAGTGTGAAGGAAGGGAGCGGCCGTGGCTCAGCCACTGTAGGCCCGGTGCTGGCCGCTCTGCTGCCTCACCTGTGCTTCCCCTGCCTCCAGCTCTCCTGCCTCAGCAGAGGAAACCAAAGACCAGACGGGCTGAGCAGCTTGCCCAGGGTCACTGCGAGGCAGTGGGCTGTCCCAAGCCCCTGGCATTGTTGGTGTAGCTGCCCATCCTCTGGCTTGAGCCAGAACCAGACTCCTGGAGGAACCAGCTCCCCACTAAACCCTCTTCCCTCACCTTGAGCCTGAAAGTCCCCTGCAGGAGTGTCCTCTTCCTAAGAGCTGGGAGGCTCATCCCTGCCTGGCACTGCCCACCTGTCTCTTCAGTGCCAGAGGCAGGCTCCATAGGAATCTGGCCCACAACTGAACTCAGTGGCAGGACCTCACTGACCACCATCCTTCTGGGAGCTGACCCCTGCAGCCCACTCTCACCTGGCCTGCCAGCCCCCACCCACTATCACCTGGCTGGTAGACGGAAGGCCGGATGCTGGCAGTGGTGACAACCCGAGGCTTTGGTGCAGTCGCTGCCGGGGCTTCAGTGTACGGATGGGCAGCAGGTGCTGGAGAGGTCGCCTGGGCCGCACCGTGAGCAGAAGCCTGGGGCCTGGAACCAAGGGGGCAGAGTTAGCAGCCGGAAGGACAGCCCGGCCTGGTGCCGGCAGCCGGCAGGTTGTCCTGCATCCTCGGGAGCCTCTGGAGAGAGGACATCTGACAGGTGGTCGGGAGCTGCGAGGAAAGACCATGAGGTTGTGGGCGGCGGAGGCTGCTCCATAGGTGAGGAGTTTTGGTGAGTTTCGTTAAAGCAGCAACGACACCTCAAGAAATAGAGCCCATTGCTGCTGCCACCGCCTTGCAGAGAGGGAGGAAGCCAAGCTGCCAGCTGGGCAGGAGGGGGCACAGGAGATTCTCCACCCGCTGGCGAGAGGCTGCCGGGGACGGTCTGGGGCTGGAGGGACAGAGGCTGGAGAGAGGAGAGATGGAGGTAGTCAGAGCTGCCCCCCTCCCTCCACCTTCTGGTCTTGGGGCACTTCACAGCCTTAGACCCCTGGCCTCCTCCCCTCCCCTTTCTACTCGTTGCTGGAAGGAGCAGTAAAGTCTCGGGTTTCTGTGCAAGAGTGCTCCAGCAGGGAGACCCTCACCCCCAAACACGATTCTCTTCCATATGGTTCTCCTGCCTCTCCCACTGCGTTCCCCCAGGAGGCTGAGAGCAGCCTTTTTCTACTGTGACGCAGGTATCAGAGGACCAAAGAGAATGGAAACAGTGACTCCGTGCATTGCCCTCAGGAGATGCTGTGTGTGGCCTGTCTTCTCCGAGAGCGACAGCTCCAAAAACCCCTGGAGTGGAGCAGCTTGTTTTACTTTGGCTGATCCAGTGTGCCCCAATTTCATTTGTCTGTGAACCCTGCCCCTCCTTTTCTTTTCTCATTTAAAACTAATGAATATCTTACAGAACACGCCCTTGTCTCTCCCTACCTTTTCCAGATCCCACAGGGACCACATGACCACACCCAGTGGAAATGGGGTGCTAGAGACATGAGCCCCGGGAAACATGCTGTCCTTCCCAGCCCATGGCTTCCTGCCTTCCTTCCACCTGGCCTGAATGCCCCCCCCCGCCCCCTCTTGCATCACGCTGGACGGAGCCACAGGAGCAGGCCTGCCCTGTCTCTCCTGCTCTGGAGGGGGTGGCCCTGAGCTAAGAACCTCGAGCTGCCTCAGATGGTGGGAGGTGCAGACAGTGCTGGTGGCCAAGCCTCCGACCCGACCCTCATCCTGGGCCCGGTGGAGGCAGCTTGCCCTGCCACACTGCCATGCTGCCCGTTGAGGGAGGCCATCGTCTCCCCTTCCTGGGCCTGCCCTTCTCTGACTGACCTGTCGAGACCAGTGCAGTAGGGGCCTCCAGGGAAGAGGAGGAGGCAGTGTCCATGGGGTGCCCTGCTTCCATTGGTGGGAGGAGGCCAAGGTAGGGGGTGTCAGCCAGTCTTTCTCCCCCATGGAGGACGCTTCCTCCGCATCCCAGGAGCTGCGGTCCTGGTCAGGGGGTGCTGTTGGAGGAGGAGGCTGAGGCTTTTGATATCCAGCAAGAATTCTGAGGCCAGGCTCCAGGACAGTTTGGGTGGCCATTTGCCTCCCACTTGCTCCCTCTACCTCCATCCCAGCCCTTGTGTCAGAAGGGAGGGAGCTGGGCCCGGAGATGGTCTCCTGCTCCCTTCTGCTCCAGCCCATGTGGGAGCTCTCCAGGCTCCTCCCCAGCCTCCACCCAGGCATCACCCTCTTTGCAAGACAAAGTGAAGGAAGGGTTTGCCCTGTTGAAGGAGCCCTGAGGGCCCAGGATAGAGGCCTGGAGCCTGAGCAGGGCCCACATCTACAGCTCCCCAATCCAAACTGTTGGGGGTGGGGGGCATCTTTCCACTCAGCAGCAGGGATATTTCAACCCTCCTCTGCCTTCTTTGGCTCTCACCGCAGCCATTCTGGTGCGCAGAGGGAAGCACTTGCTAAGTGCCCTCTGGCAGCTGGGATAGAAAACTGTGGAGGCCAGGGTGGGCTCACCCTGAGGCTTGAGTTGGGCTGGGGAAAGGCCGGGCTCTGCACCACCTGGGTCATTGTACAGCCCAGGGCTAGGCCCACAACTGGCCCACAACTGAACTCAGTGGCAGGACCTCACTGACCACCATCCTTCTGGGAGCTGACCCCTGTGGCTAATCTGCCCCTCCCCCCATCCTCCTCAGGTTGCACCAGGGACTTGTGCACCCGACGCAGAGAGGCATGTCCTTTCCACAAAACCAGGGGGCGGGGGGCGATGGGGGAGGCGGGGCAGGAGACTGAGAGCTGGCTCTGACCCTAACACCAGGTGGACACTCCATGCAGCCCGTAGAGAGCTGGGTCTGGAGGCCTGCTTGCTGCCCGGCTGTGCCAGACCACCTGCCAGCCTGCCTGCATCTCCCGGGTGCTCTCCACCCAGCCCCGTTGCTGGGCGCCAGGAGAGCGGGTGGAGAGCCGTATGCTGCAACACCGGAGACCACTTTGTGTGCGCGGTGGCTTAGGCACACTTTTTCTGTCCCAACCCTACAAAATCAACGTTGCATTGAACGTCTTAGCAGACGAGGAAACTGACGTTCAGATCCAGTAACTTTCTGGAGATTACCGACAGGAAGTGGCAGGGGAGAGGTTGAAGCCACACTGCACCAGGTGCCTCTTGTTCTCCACCCAGAGAGCGGAGGCTAAGGGCCCAGGGCAAGTCAATTGCTAAATATCCAGCCTGTCTCCTGTGGCCAGGTCAATGCTCCTCCCTCCACGGAGCTTTCCTCCGCTTTCCCAGCCCCAGCAACAACTTCTGTTCCCCTAATTTCAGTTCCGGAAACAGGCTTTCCAGTCTCCATTTGCTGTCTTAGTGTGTGTGTGTGTGTGTGTGTGTGTGGGGGAGGCCATTGTTTGAAGACAGTTGGCTAGAAGCTGTTAATTTTGCTTTTTTTCTCTGTTCCCTCTCTTGCCCAAGGAGAGGGCAGGGGCCCACATCCCTCCTGTCTTCAGCCACACTCACACTCCTCTGCACCCTCTGCAGCAGGCAGTGCTAGCCTTGGCCTCCTGGGCCCTGGGCTCCCAACCACCTGGGGTGGGCCTTTCTGAGGGTGAGACACAGCTGCCCACATGGAGCCAGGGTGAGGCCACTCCTGCCTCCCTTCCCCACAGCCGGGGTGGCACCTGGGGCAGTTACCTGGGACTGTCCGCAGGGCTTGAAGCAGGGGCCGAGGCAGAGGCAGCGGCAGCATGGGCAGCGGTTGCAGCCAGGGGTGGCGGGGCTGCGCTGGGAGAGGCAGCAAGAGGCGGCTGGGCAGAAGCGGGCAGCAGCGGGGTGCTGGCCTGGCTGGTGCACACTGGAGCATGCTCAATAGGGGTGCTGATGAGGCGGGACCAAGAAAGACAACAGGTCAAGGGGGCCCTCTGCATGGCGGTGGTGTCTGCAGCAGAGGCATGTTGGGCAGAAGGCACCGTTCATACTGCAGAGTAGGATCTTCCAGAAGCCTGTTCCCAGTTCCAGAGAAAGAGGCCCTCAGGACCCCGAGAGGGAAGGACTCAGCCCACAAGGAGGATCACAGTCACATCAAAATTATTCTCCAGCCTGGTACGAACACCTCATTCTAATATATACATAATTGATTTCAGAGAGGAAGGGAGAGGGAGAGAGAGAGAAACATCAATGATGAGAGAGAATCATTGATTGGCTGCCTCCTGCATGCCCCACACTGGGGATTGAGCCTGAACTCTGGGCATGTGCCCTGACTTGGAATCGAACTGTGACCTCCTGGTTCATAGGTTGACGCTCCGGCAGAGCAAGAACCCCCCGTTTTTGTGCTTCCTGGTTTCTCTGAGTACAAAAACACAGTGTGATGGAGAAGTAGATTGAATTATCAACCCATCCTGCTTTCTGCATTTAGTCGGAGGCACATGGCCTTTGAGAAAAGCAGAGGCAGATATTTGAGGGCCAACGGCTTAGGCTCTAGAGTGGCGAGAGCCTGGGCTTTTAGGCGTGGAGGACTCAGGCACTGACAGCACGTTCGGAAGATGGATGAAAGCTGCCATGCCAGGCTGATCAAGGTTATCTGGACCAGAAAGGGTTAACGTGGCGTGGGGGGTGGGGGTTCAGAAATAGAGGCAACTGTGCCCCTTTCCCGGGTAAACCAGAGAGGTGGCAGGATCTCAGGGTCTCCCATACCCGTGGTGAAGGAGCAGACGGATCCAAGACCATCCTGAGGTGCCCAGGCCCCCGTGTGGCCTGGCGGCCAGAGGGTTTCTCACATGCCCAAGAGTGATGTGCTGTGGCCCTGAGTGCCTGCATGTCTGAAAGACCAGTGGCTGGGAACAAGGGAGGGACTGCAGTGCCAGTGTAGACCAGTGTGACCAGCGTGACCAGATGGGTAGGGATATCCCAGCAGGTGCCAGCACAGGGAGACGGACCAGGGCCAGGTGCCCAGGTGCCCACCCTGCCTGCCTTGCTGTTCAGTGAGCATCCCATCTGGGCTGATGGGCTGGATTTCTGCCACCTGGGAAACTGGGCAGAGAGACAAACCAAGTTACAGGAGAGCAAAGAAATGCATTCTCTGCCCCCCGGCCTCGGGCCTGAGACGGGGACTTGCTGCCACAGAGCAGGAGCTGGCTCCCGTCGCGGGTGGCCCTGCGCAGAGTTTGTTGTTGACCTGGCCCCGTGTGCCTGGCCTGTGTCTGTCGTCCTCACCGTCGCCCTCTGACATGGGTATTAGCAACTCTGTTCCGTAGACAGGGGATGGAGACACAGATTTCAAGCTCCCGGAACAGGTAGTGACGGCAGGATCTGGCGGAGGGACACTTGGGCTTGAAGCCTCCCCCAGTACCCCAAGTCCCTCAGGGAGGGAGGAAGATGCTTCTTCGAGTCAGGCAAGTAGGGTCCTTCCCCCAAAAGGCACTCTCCTATTGGACAGGGTGGGGAGTGGGTTTGGGGGGGGCTGGTGAGCATCACTCCTCTGATCCCCTCCACCTGCTGGGCCATTGGTATCAAGACCCTCATTTTCCAGGAGAGGAGCCTGATTCTAGAGGCCGGCACCGCTGGTAAACCCTCCCCGCTGCCCGCTGCCTCACTCCTGCCACCTCAGGTCGAACATGCAGTGAATGGCCTGGGGATCTTGCTCAAATGCAGCTTCTGATTCGGGAGGTTGGGGGGGTCCCAGGTGACGCTGGTCCGAGGACTGCCCTGGGAGTAGCCAGGCGCTGCCCAGACTGTCCCAGGGCAGAGGCCACGAGCTGTTTACCAGGCATCACTGAACTGCTCTCCTCCCTCAGTGAGGCGTAGGGTGGGCGGAGGGAGCCACGGAGCCCTGGAGAGGCGGGGGAGCGGGCTGGAGAATGCCTCCCACAGGAGGGAGCGAACCCCCACGGACCAGGGCAAGGGCCATGTCCTGACCAGCCCTCCCCCACCCCAGCTTTAGTTCAGAAAGGAGGCCTCAGACAGCCCTGCTGGGGCTTGTGGCATGCCGGCCCCGCCCTCCCAGGAAGCTGCTCACCCGCCCTCATGGAGGAACCTGACTGCCCACAGCTTCTCTGGGAAGCAGCTGCAGTTCCTGGAGCCATACTGCCCAGCCAGCCGCCAGGCCCTCCTCACGCCGTGGGCCGCGAGGCCTGGGGACGCCGGGCCTCAGAGAACACCCAGCTTCCCTGTCTGCTTCTCCCTGACCCTGGCCCAGGCTTCCAGGGGCTTCTGGGAGCCAAGGCCGCTGCCAGGACAGGAGGGATGACGGTGTCTGGGGGAGACAGGACTGTACAGACAAACCAAACATTGATTTTGTCCCCTTCACTCCAATTGCTAGTCAGACCAGCTTACGTGGTGTGTCCCAGGCATGGCTCCAAAGGACCCCTGGGCTCCGGGGTGAGGTGGGCCCCAGGAGAGTCCATGCTCTACCGCAGGGCCAGGGCCAGGGCCAGGGCCAGGGCCAGGCTGCCGCTGGGGCCTACGAGTGGCATCCTGCCGAGCAGCACTGTCTGCAGAGGCCAAGCAGCAGGCCCCAGGAGAGGGGCAGCATGGGACAAGCCCAGGGTCTTGTCCGGGCTGTTTCCTGCCCGAAGTTCCATTAGCCCAAAACGCCGAGGAAGGTGTCCCAGGGAGCAAGCAGAGCACTTACGTGGCCCCAACTGTAAGGAAAGCCACGCAATCACCCAGCCAGGCGTAGGAGTCTGTCTGCCTCTTGCCCTGGTCATAATTCACTTCAAATATCTAACAAGAACCAAACCAAACCAACTGTACTCAACTACTCAAGGCTTCAGGAGCGGGTGTGGCGAGAGGAGACACAGGTTGGCCCCGGGCCCCTTGGCAGGCCATCTCGTCCCTCGACCCAGCTGGCATCAAGGGGGAACACGCCAACCCTGTGCCTGCTCTATGGTGCTGGCCTTTGGTTGATGCTCTTCCTGATGCCAAGGGTATTAGGTACGGAAAGGACATTATGGACGGATTGGGGAGGTGCTGGCTTGGGCTCTGTGGTTACTGGGCTCAGGCTGACCTGCTGGTGAGGTGGAGGTGTTGTGGTTGATGGTGCTGGGGGTGCTATTGTTGGGGTGACAGTGCTCATTGTATTAGTTCAGAGAATGGAACATGAACCTCTCTACTGACTGGATTACAGAACCCAGTCCGGTTACAGTGTTCACGCTGCCATCCGCCTGGTCAGCGTTTCATCTTGCAGCCTGAAGACTGGCTGTGGCTCGGGGCGCCCTGACCACGTCACTCCGCACGGTCACCTCCAGGGCCCGTGGACACTGCAGTCTGTGCAAATGACACCCTCGAGATCGGGCCCGCGATCCCCCCAGGCCGCAGCACCGGCGACATTCACTAGCTCCAGGCAGTCAAAACCCCACAGCCCTCACTCCACTCCAACCACTCCTGACCAAACGCCCTCTGCACTGCCTCTACCCCAGCCACCGTGGCTAACTCGGGGTTCCGGGACACCCCTTCTCCTCCTCATCCAGCAATCCTAACTGCTCTTGAGGACCAGGGCCCACCCCTTCTCCCAGGGAGCCTGCTCTGACACCCAGTCGAGGGGCTCGCCCTGTCTCTAGACCTCACGCCAGCAACCTTGCCTCATGGTCAGCCACGGCCACATAAGCGCTTTCTCGTTTCTCTGGCACCCACAGCAGCCAGGTGTACACGGGCTGCTGTGTGAGGACAGCCCTGCACAGAGGGCTGCCTGCAGGGGCTGGTGGGCATCCCTGGGAACCTTCCAGAGCACCAGGAGGGCTTCCACACCCCGGGGTCAGGACAGGGAAATGTGAGGCCACCAGTTCTGACGGGCTCGGGTCCTCTGTCAGCCCAGGACACCACTGCCTGGGCCTCTCTCTGGCAGCCCCAGCCCCACAACCCCCCCTGGGGCCCCAGCAAACATGTGCGTGCGCTCCAGGACGCCTCGGTGCAGGCAGGAGCACGCTCCATCTCCTGGCCGATCCCTCAGCACACTGGCCCTGCCTGGCCCGGAGCAGAGGCTAGAAACGGGGAGAGATAGGAGGCCCAAATGGAGCCGCTGGCAGGGGTTTAGAGAGCGTCTGGGATGTGGGCGGGATAGAGCAGCCGCCCTGGCCAGCCCTTCCAGATGGGATTGCCAAGGTCCTTGGAGGCAAAGAGGAAGCCTGTGCCCAGGCGGCAGGAGCGGAGCAAGGCTCTGCCCAATCCTGGCACGGCGGCAGGGGCATCCTGATGGGGGCCTTGGCGTCCGCCTCTGTTTGCCAAGTGCAGTTGGTGTCATGTTCTCAGCCAGTGGTTTTGCTTTCAGGAACCAGGCTGATGGGCTGACAGAGAGTGGGAAGGAGGTGAGCCCGCCAGTCTGGTCCTTCCCAAGTGCTCTGGATGAGGACAGGCCCCCGGCGGGTGGGCGGGGCCAGCAGGCCAGCTGGAGGTCCTCCGCACCTTCCTGACCCAGCAAGACTCCACCGGGCACATCTTCCACCTCCTCTCCCCTGTGCCCTACCCCTTAGTGCAGGCGTGCCCTCCTGAGCCCTCCCTGTCCCCGGCACAGGGCCAAGCAGGGGCAGTGCCTTCTTGGCTACAGCTGGGGGTGGGCAGGGGCCTCTGTGCACCCACCAATATACACTGCCCCGGGGGACCCTAAGGCTGCCCACCTGGCACAGCACAGACTCCCACATGCATTCTCTGGCCTGAGCTCACAGTCCAGATAGGGCCCTTGTGGGGGAAACCGGCGGAGGGCAGAGCCCCTGGGGCGCCTGTCCCTCCCTGGCTCAAACCTGCACCTCTGGAGGATGCACACAGCACAGCAGGACTGAGGCTGGTTTGTTATTTCAAATCCTCTTTATTTCAGAATGAGCATGCATATCTGTACCGGAGAGAGGGCTGGGCAGCTAGCGCACATGGCACAGAGGGAGAGCACATGCCAGCCTCACCACAGGCCGAGGGCCTGCTGCCTCTACCCTAGGCTCCCCCTCCTCCAGGGCTCCAGCTCAGAGGGCAGCAAGGTAGGGAATGCAGCAGGGAGCCTCCTCCTCCCAGGACCCTGCTCCATGGACGACTCCTCCCAGACGGCACTGGGCAGGGCTACTCTCCCAGCCACTGAGGGTGGCAGGGAATCCACTAGGGGCGAGCTGTCTCCCTTGGTTCTGGGGTGTTAGGCCAGTAAACCCCATCACATCCTCTCTGAACTATGGCTACGGCCCTGGGTACGGCCCTGGGTGGGGAAGCAGAGACACGGGCTGTCTGGGGCGGTGAGGGTTGCATTGAGGGGGTGCGGGGTGCAGTGCCGCCCTGACTACGAAGGTGCCAGCACAGCTCTACATATTCAAGCATCGCCGTGGGGCTCACACGCCAGATCTGTGGGGGGAGTGGCAGGCGGGGGCTCCAGGCAGTCTTTTAGCTTTTAACGTTAAGGATTTGGGCTGAAAGGCCATGGTGCCAGTTGCGCAATTTGGCAAAACGTGGGCTGTTACGTTCCGTTTCAAACCTTTCCCTGTGGCAGAGAGTGAGAGAGAGAGAAAGAGAGAGAAAGAGACAGACAGACACAGACCCAGAGACAGAGAAACAGAGAGAAGAGAGAAAAGGGAAAGAAAGGGGTTAGGGGATGTGTCCGCCAGTCTCTTGTCTGGGGGCGGGGGGTGGGCAGAGGTCATGGGAGCGGGGGTTTGGCTTGGAGAGGCTTTGCCTTCCCTGGGAACTTCCTACATGGTCAGGCCTGGTTTGGGTCAAGACCAGAGTCCCAAGGACCTGGAGGGACTGAGCCTAGACCCGAGTGAGTGGGCGGCATGGGGAAGCCTGGCTGGAGGCCTGAGGACAGCGTGGCCCCGTGGTGAGGCCTGGGCAGGGCTGCTTTGGCTGTGGGACCTCGAGGCTGAACCACACAGGCAGGGGCCTCTCCTGGCCCCAGAGCCCTCACTGGGCATGAAGAAGGAGAAACACCTGTCCCTGTGATGAGGCTGGGCGAGCAGGCCTGCCACCTCGCTGTGCTGCCCGCTCTCTGCCAACCCTTGTCTGTCCCCAGAGAGAAGCCTTCCGACACCATGGCTGGCCCTGCCCTTCCGGGCCTGAGCACGCCAGCACACACGTGCACACGTACTCACAAGACTGCCGGCACACATACCGGGCCAGGACTTCCTCCACTTCCCACCAGCAGGGCTCTGGGCTCAACCCACAGCCCCTCGGCTGAGGGCACAGAAAACTAGGTCAGGAACAGCCAGAAACACAGAAGTGGAGGGGAGGAGACTCTGGGAAAGGCCATTGACATGGATGCCGGAATCCTGACCCCTGCCCGGGCTGCAAGGGCCTCTCACGCCTTCAGGCCAGAGGCGCACCTGGTGGCCCAGGGTCACAGTCAGCCACATGGAACTGCTCACCCAGACCATGGACTACTACTCAGCAACAAAAAGACACGAGCGAGCCATAGGTGTGCTCAGTGGGCACGGGGAAATGCGAGGAGGGCGTGAGGAGCCGCGGCAGATGGATCGGGCAGTTGCGGGAGGGCTTTTAGAGGGCGACGGTGTTGGTTTGAAGGCAGGTCTTAGCTGCCAAGAAGCAGAGGAACCCTCGAGTGAAAAGTGAGAGTGGGTGCTTCTTTGGGAGAGACACTGGCCGGGGGCTGGGAAAAGTCAGGAATCCAGAGGCTTTGGGGGAGGGGGTGGGAGAAGAGATGTGTATGAGGAGAGGGAGTGAATTAGGCCAACAGAGAATCCAGTCCCACAGGCTGGAGGCTTTATGATCCTACTTATACAACATTCTCGAAATGACAAAGTTATAGAAATGGAGAAAAGATCACCGCTTAACGGTTGCCGTGCCACAGGGTGGGGAGGGGGTGTGGTAGGGAGGTGGTGTCGCTATAAAAAGGCAACAGCGGGGAAGGCTTGGGGGGGAAGGGTTCTGCACCCAACCGCCAGCGGCCACACCCAGCTGTGCCATTACCACTGGGGTAAAGGGTGCTCTCTGTATTGTTTCCTACAACTACATGTCAATCTGCAATTATCTCAAAATAAATGGCTCAATAAGTGAATTGCAGCTATAAAAATCAGGAAGGTCAGGGTTAGGTCTTTAAAAACCAGAGGACGCTCATCTTACATGTCTCCGTGTAACAGTCCATGTCCCCACATTTACACTTGGCACCTGCCCCTATCGGCGTTACCCGGTGGACTCCCCACACCTTGAGTCCTGCATATTTGGTCTCTGTAAGATTCTGTTGGACAGAAGGGGCCCACTGCTAACAAATGTGAAATCACCCTAGTGCCAAGAGGAGCCTAGGCCCAGAGACATCGGGAATGGCCTGAGCCGCCTGGAGACTCAGCATCGGACGCCCTCCGCGCGCCAGCCTCTCCGAGGTCAAGGGAAGGGATAAGACAGCATGGGCAGGGCCCCCGCCGCCAGCCATACAGCCTGCCTACAGCACCAGAGCCCACCCGGAGAGCCCAGCCAGCCCCCCGGCCCAGCCAGCTCCACTCCCCAGCTAGCCGCCCGGCCCAGCCAGCTCCACTCCCCAGCTAGCCGCCCGGCCCAGCCAGCTCCACTCCCCAGCTAGCCGCCCGGCCCAGCCAGCTCCACTCCCCAGCTAGCCGCCCGGCCCAGCCAGCTCCACTCCCCAGCTAGCCGCCCGGCCCAGCCAGCTCCACTCCCCAGCTAGCCGCCCGGCCCAGCCAGCTCCACTCCCCAGCTAGCCGCCCGGCCCAGCCAGCTCCACTCCCCAGCTAGCCGCCCGGCCCAGCCAGCTCCACTCCCCAGCTAGCCGCCCGGCCCAGCCAGCTCCACTCCCCAGCTAGCCGCCCGGCCCAGCCAGCTCCACTCCCCAGCTAGCCGCCCGGCCCAGCCAGCTCCACTCCCCAGCTAGCCGCCCGGCCCAGCCAGCTCCACTCCCCAGCTAGCCGCCCGGCCCAGCCAGCTCCACTCCCCAGCTAGCCGCCCGGCCCAGCCAGCTCCACTCCCCAGCTAGCCGCCCGGCCCAGCCAGCTCCACTCCCCAGCTAGCCGCCCGGCCCAGCCAGCTCCACTCCCCAGCTAGCCGCCCGGCCCAGCCAGCTCCACTCCCCAGCTAGCCGCCCGGCCCAGCCAGCTCCACTCCCCAGCTAGCCGCCCGGCCCAGCCAGCTCCACTCCCCAGCTAGCCGCCCGGCCCAGCCAGCTCCACTCCCCAGCTAGCCGCCCGGCCCAGCCAGCTCCACTCCCCAGCTAGCCGCCCGGCCCAGCCAGCTCCACTCCCCAGCTAGCCGCCCGGCCCAGCCAGCTCCACTCCCCAGCTAGCCGCCCGGCCCAGCCAGCTCCACTCCCCAGCTAGCCGCCCGGCCCAGCCAGCTCCACTCCCCAGCTAGCCGCCCGGCCCAGCCAGCTCCACTCCCCAGCTAGCCGCCCGGCCCAGCCAGCTCCACTCCCCAGCTAGCCGCCCGGCCCAGCCAGCTCCACTCCCCAGCTAGCCGCCCGGCCCAGCCAGCTCCACTCCCCAGCTAGCCCCCCTGCCCAGCTAGCCACACTGCCCAGCCAGCTCCACTGCCCAGCTAGCTGAACTGCCCAGCCAGCCGCCCTGCCCATCTAGCCACACTGCCCAGCCGGCCACACTACCCAGCCAGCTCCACTGCCCAGCTAGCTGCACTGCCCAGCCAGCCGCCCTGACCAGCCAGGCCTGCGGCCGCTGCATCAGCTCAGGGACAGCGCAGGGAGCCAGGGAGCGCCTGAGTCTAGGGAGCCTATTCTGGTTGGAGCCGTTTGGAAATCCACAGGCAGCCAGACAGGAGTGGGAAGAGAAGGAAAAGGAGAAGGGAGGGAGGAAGGAAAGGAGAGAGGTCCCAGATGCCCATAAGGGCTGCTCAGAGGACATCGAGGCTGTCCTGGTCTCTCCAGCTGTGGCTTTCAAATGTGCTAGGCTGGCAGAGCACCAAGGACCAACATGTCCACAAAATGCAGGTAATTTCGTTGCTGATAGCTGTCCACTGCTCCTCACGGGGGCTCCCTTTGAGGGAGGGCCCTGAGCCAGGTGGCACCAGAGTGGGCCAGGTGTGCAAGGAGGAGCTGAGTGCTCCCAGGGAGGGAGGACCCTGTGGGGAGGGAGGACACCTTGGAGTCCTGGGCTGTTGGGAGGGCCAGGCGAGGAGAGGAAAAGGAACCCCGAATGGGCTTGGAGAAGGGATTGGGGGGAGGTCACGTTGCTTGTGGAGAGGTGTGCAAGGCAACCCTCCCCTTCACCTCCTGTGAGCTCATCACTACAATCAGCCTGATTCCTTCACCTGGGGGCCTTGGAGAGGAAGGCCCTCTACAGGGAGCATTAGGTGAGCACAGAGACTTGGAGATAGTTGTGCCACCAGGTGGGGACCAGGGATCTCTACACACAGGGATCTCTACGCCAGAGGAATCCCAATTCCTCACAATTCCGGCCGAGCCTGGATAAAGCCCCATCAGGGCTGCCTCGCAGGGACCTGCCTCCTACGGTCCCAGAGAGGCTGGCAACTTCTCTGAGGTTAGAGGTTCGGCTTCTGGGTGGAGGCCCGTTGGTGCTGTTCTCCCAGCACCTGCTGGGGCTGAGCAGGCTGTCTACAGAACCAGGCAGGACCAGCTTTAGCAGGTGCTCCTGAAAGCCAGGATGGGGCCAACAATGAGGCCTGGGGCCACCCTAAATACTGCCTTTTGTGTCTCCTCACTCAATAACTTCTCAGTGTCTAAAAATGTCCCAGGGAAAGACAAAAGACAGGAGTTCCTGTAATCTGCCGCCACCAGTACCCTCCTGCCTCCTGAACTGCGTCCAGTTAATGCGGTACAAGCAGAGAGTGGCCTGCGGGAGGAGCAGCGAGTGGCCAGAAGTACACCAGAGAGGGCAGGGGTCAGAGGCAGGGCTGCCTCATGGGAGGGAGAGCAGGCCCCCCTGCCAGCTTCTTGTTGGAAGGAACCTGGGGACTTTAAAGCTGTTTGTTTTGTGTTTGTGTGTATGGGGGGTGGGGGGCATGCTGTGAAGCGCTTATCAAGTCTCAGGTAAGGCTAAGCGCCCGCATCTACTAGTATGTGGGTGGCTTCAAAGGGGAGGTGTGACGAACACAGAGACAGCACACAGGAGCAGTGGGACATAGGACAGGGTGAGCTGACAGCTCATCACACTTAAAACAGCTGGATACTGGTCCTGGCCGGGTCGCTCAGTTGGTTTGAGCATCATCCCCATACGCCAAAGTTGTGGGTTCAATCCCCAGTCAGGGCACATACAAGAATCAACAGATGGATGCATTTAAGTAAGTGGAACAACATCCACCCCCCCACCCCCCGCGCCTCAACCCAATAAATAAAAAATTAAAAAATACAGCTAGATACTAACTCTTGAGCTAAATCAAACATCATCTCATTCCAGGCGCAGATGGCACGTTGCAGGCATTGACAGGCGGGACCTGCCTTGGGAGCTGCACGCTGTGTCAGCAGCCTAGAGGGACTTTTAGGCTTGGAAGCCCAGCCAAAGAGTGGGAGCATTCGGAGCAGAAGCAACCGGTTCAGAAAGCAAGTCCACACCAACTCCAGAGGCCCGAGTTCCACGCCCGCACACCCTGTGGCCACGCCAGCAGGTTAGCGAGGACAGAAAGCTCGGCCCAGAGCGGAAGGCGGCTCTGAGCCCCAGCCTCCCACAGAAGCCACGCAGGGTGCACTTCCAGGGCGGATTTTCTCAGGAAGAACATGCAGGTGACATTTGCATCCAAAGTACAGTACAGCACAGTCACACTGGGCTCGATGCCCATCATGGAAGACCCTAGTGGGTCTCAGTGGGTGCCTGGGCAGTGTGCCCCCTCATGCTATGGTCCATGAGCACCTGACAGGCCACAGGTGGCAGGTGAGTGGCTGTGGCCTCAGACCTGCCAGTGTTTCAGAACCATATCTTGACCTTGAGACACCTAGTCCTGCACAAGCTCCTCCTCCTGCCCAGGATTTGTCCTTCCTTACAGCAGCTGCTGTATTTTGAGTAATTTACAGAACTGATACCTCACGGTCTGGACAAGTGAGTCCAGGGCTCAGCGCCCATGCCCAGCACAGCCCTCCTGGTGCCTGCTTCCTGCGCCTAGCCTCCAGACTCACAGGGTGTGCAGGCACGGCAGCTGGCTCGGTGCCCCACAGGGAGAGATGCCCTCGTTCTCAACAGCCTAGCAAAGGCCAAAGCAGCCCTGCCCTGGCCCTGGACAGGCCAGGAGAGCCCAAGTCCTCACGTCTGGGCCCAGGGGACGGAGACTCAGCTGCAGGCACCCACCTCACTGACCTGGACAAAGGCCCCTGCACCTGCTGAAGCCCCTTAGGGGCCAGGTGTTTCCAAATACATGAACTTGAGAGGTGCCTTCCGTAAGTCATGTGACCTGGGGGCTACCGGGAGGGGTGGGATTAGGAGGGGCAAGGCCACAGAGCCTGAGTCCAGGCGCTTACCTTGACCTTCGCAAAGCTTCTTCATCAGGGTCTTGCACTGTGGGTAGAAAGTTGCTGGTCAGGAGGAAAATCGGGAGCACAAGAGAGAAAAGCTACCAGAGCTCTGTGGACACTGAGTCCCTACCCATGACTGGACATGACCTCTCCCAGCCTATAAACTAGGAAGGGAAAGGCTGTGCGCTGGGCAGAGGGCAGCTGGGTGTTGAGTGGTCAGAGGCGTGGGCAGCTCTGGGCAGTCATTTTGCCTTGAAACACCATGCAAGCCTGCTGCCCATTGTTTGGTCAGGGCGCTGAGCAGAAGGCTCATGTCACTTGCCTGCCCCAGAGCCCAGAAGGGCTCCAAGGGCTGCTGTTCATCTCAAGGCCAGCTCAGCTTCAGGGGGTCAGGGGCTCGACTCCCTGGCTTCTGTGGACTGTGGAGTGGGACCCAGGACCCTCGTGGCCCTGCAGCACCTCCCCTTTCTGCCCGCCCCGAGCCCCACTCACTGTACTCAGTTCCTGTCATCTGAGCCAGGATGCGGAAGGAGCGGGACTGAAGGTTGGAGGAGCGGCGGGCCCACTCATCAGCCTCATCTTCCGGCTTGTTCTGGTTCTTAATCACAGCCTGGTACACGGGAGAGGCGCTGTCCACAGCGAGGTCTTTAACAGGAAGGCTCCTGCAATGCAGAGCGACTGGTGGGCGAGGGCTGGGCTGGACCCTGCTCCCTACCTCCTCCCCTCCCCCACACTGACTCCCAGGCACCTCCCCGCGGTGGCCCCTACTTGTCTGAACCCACCATGCCCTTTCCCCACTGCCATCTGAGAGCCTGGGGCAGGGGTCAGCTGGGTGCTCAGTGCTCAGGGTGGTTACAATTAGACAGTGATTCCTCTCACAGAGGGTCAGGAGGCGCAGGTCCTCCGGCCAACACCCCCCTGCCCACCCCCACTTGCAAGCTGCAGGCACAGACCTTAGGACATCCCACCATTAAGGAGATAGGAGGCAGGAGACATCTTCTAGAAGTAATTTCCAGCGCCCTGAGCAGGCCCTGAGTTTGGGGCTAAGTGAGGACAGGCCAATCGGGACCGTCCCCACAGTGCCGTGACCGCCTTAGGAGAAGGCTGAAGGCTGTGACTTGGCTACACACAGGCAGGCACAATAGGGTGGGGATGAGAAACACAGCAACGAGGCCATGTGGGGGTATCACCTGCAGATAGCCGGCTCTGCCCTGGGGGTGCTGGGAGTGGAGCTGCAGGAGGGTTCCTAGTCTCTGCCCCAGCCTATTGAGGGGGACCTGGTGGCCTTCCCTTGCCTTAGACTCCCAGGACCTGGCGCATAGTAGGTGCTCAAAATGTAGTTGGATAAATTAATCCTATATCGGAGCCAAAAGGGCCCCCAGAGCCGCTTGGGTTCAGTGCCTCCCAGACTGCAGGGCAGGGTAGATCCAAAGCTTTCTGGGTGCCCACTCACCCTGCCCAGCCTGCATGACTCAGGGGGAGCTCACAGCACTGACGCCTGCCTCCCTGGCCAGCGGCCCAGCCAGGCCCATGCTGGTGCTGAAACAGCTCCAGCGAGACCAGAAGACCAGCTCCCGGTTACAGCGTGTAGGGGCCCCAACAGAGTCAGGGCCAGGCTTCCCGCTCCCAGCCCAGTGTCCTTTCCATCAGACTCACAGTGACAGGGCTTGGAAGGCCACTTCTGTGCACTGGGCCTCAGACACCCCAGACGCTCTATGCCTAGAAAAGGCCCAGCCCAGACACCGGCCCTGTCGGCACCCCCTGCCTGCCTCTCAAGCTGCCTCTCCCTGCACCCCCAGGGCCTCCTCAGTTCCCACATCTTCTACCCTCTGGGCAAGGAGCTCTCCAGCACTGATCTTGTCTCCCATGAGCCCCTGGGCTTGGCACCCTGTGTCTGGGCCCGGGTGGGCTACAGCTGCAGGTAAAGACAGGTGACAACAGGAGGCAGAGACGGGCGGAGCTGCCTCCTTGCCTGAAGGCTGTGCCCTGGCTAGGGAGCTACGGGTTGGGGTCCATGGGGAAGACCAGTGAATCGCTCGGGGTCCAGGCAGGGAGGAGCCCTTCGGACCAGGAACAGAGGAGGGTGGGGTCTCGCTGGGGGTGCCATTTCCAGCACAGGCAGATGTCCCAAGGGCCTCAAAGCAGAGGCTGGGCCTACTGTCTTTGGTGAGGCGGGCGATGGGAAGGCACAATCAGGGCGCCCTGTTCTACCGGGAGGAAGTGTGGACTGTGCTGTGGGTCAGGGTGCGGACGCAGGCCAGGCCTCTCCCGTGAGCCTGCCCACATGAAGTCTGTGCCAGGAAGCAGCGGATGCCTTTGCTGCGTTCTCCCCAGAACGTGCCCTGAGGTGCTCCCCGTCCTCCCTGAGCTCCCAGGGCTCCAGGCTGCTGGGAGCGTGTCGTTGGGGCTTCCGCCCTCGGCCCCTTCCTACCACCTGAGTGGAGACGGGCGAGCCTGCAGCAGAGCCGGGAGCCCGCGAGGGCACTCTGAATAATAGACGCAGAGAGCAGAACAGGCCCCACGTGCTGGGACCCTGGGTCTGAGGCTGGAGCCCCTCCCAGCACGACCTTCTTGCCACCAAAAACACTCCAGAGACCGCAAGTTAGGGTCACCCTGGGGCATTGACCCCACTCACACTGCCCTCAAGCCTGCCTCATCGTTGGCCGCGTGGGTGGTCTTGGCAAGTGCTGGCTCCTTCAGGTCCAGGTTCTGGGGTCTGGGGAGGGGCCTCTAAGAGGCCCCCTTACCACCCTCTGCCCTGAGTAATGGCCGGTGTGGATGCTGAACGGCAGGTCTACAATCTTCCAGCGCAGACAGAAAAGGCAGGGGGAGCCCCACGAAGCATGGCAAGGAGAACACAGAGACCCCAGCCCGGGGCCAGCATGAGTGCTTTTAACTCTCATCTGTGTCCATAGTGACATTATTCGGGGCAAACCCTCAAAGACAAGCCTGTACAGGCCGCAGAGCATGTCATGTGGCTGTGAGGTAGGCGTGAGGAGAACACAGACAGAGGCACTGTCCTCAGGCACAGCCCACCAAACCACACACCGCCCCACAACCAGACAGACGGACGACGGAACAGACACTGGGGTCTACTTACGCCAGTGGCGACGCCCTGCCAAGCAGAGGAAAGCCCCGCAGTGAGTGTGTGTCCATCAGGGGATGGCAGGGGCGGCGCACACACAGGGGAGCAGGGTTGGGATCAGAAATGAGTTATGGGGGTGGGATGGATAAAGGAGGAAGAGAGAGACAAAAAGAAAACTGTCAGTGAGGAAGGCATCATGGAAATCCACAGCAGAAACGGAGCACCTTAGGCACCGGGCCGAGGGCAGCTCTGACCACGCGCACCAGCCCCTCAGGGCTGCGTTAGGAGGAGGGGCGTGCATGGTGCTTCCCAGGCACACAGGGCAGGGCAGGGCAGGGTGGGGCTGGGAGAGGTAGCAGGGAGATGGGAACAGTCCTTCCAGAAGACCAGATAAGGTCAATGGTGCATCATGTTAAAAAGACCAAACAAGAGATCCTTTTCCCGAGCGCAGAAAGCCAGGTTCTTTTGCAGAATCGTTCTTCCATTGTCTGCCACTGGGCTTCCCCTTGGCGAGGGTGGCGACCCTTAGGAGCACACCAGGGACACACCTGCCACACTCGGGGCAAACAAGTGTGAGCAGGAAATCCCTGTTATCTCTTCGGCTTAGCCAGGCAGCTTTTTTCTGGGTTCACATGAGATAAAGGTTGTGTTTTTAAAATTGCATTGTCATGGTTTCTGCTTCGAGCCATGGAATGAAATCAACACTGTGTAGAGTTCTGCCTGGGCCAGGCCAGTTTGAGACCCACAGCTCAGGGCTGGTGGCCCCAGGAAGCACCGCCTCCGCAGCTGGGCTCCCTCTCTGCCCGAAGCCTGCGCTCAGAGCACGGCTGTGTTCTGCAAAGGTCAAACACTATTGGAGTTTTCTGGGATTGTTTAACCCCTTTATCCCTCTTACAACATTTGTTTTTCTTAGTTTCAGAAAAAAAGTACATCATTTTAAGACTTTTTTTTTTTGCCTTGAGCTGCTGGGGATACTGAGTCAGGGATAAGATGCTGGCCAAAGAGATAGTCAGTTCTGAAAAATCAACACTCATGTCATTCCCAAGCAGAAAACACTCTGTGTGTGTGCGCGTGTGAGACAAGAGAAAGACAGAGAGAGGCAGAGAACAGAGAATGAAAGAGGCAGAAGCACACACAGAAAAAGGAAGAGAAAGAGAAACCAAGGGAGACAGACAGAAACACAAAAAGAGGAAGAGGTCCCACCCAGCCAGTGTGGCTCAGTGGTTGAGCCTCGACCTGTGAACCAGGAGGTCACGGTTCAATTCCCAGTCAAGGGCACATGCTGGAGTTGCAGGCTCGATCCCCAGTAGGGGTGTGCAGGAGGCAGCTGATCAATGATCCTTTCTCATCATTAATGTCTTTCTCTGTCCCTCTCCCTTCCTCTCTGAAATCAATAAAAAAAATTTTTAAAAGAGGAAGAGGTCCCCATTAATGTTTGCACTATTAGCAGTTTCATCCACAAATGATTTTCAGCCGACTCTTCCCTATTTAGCCCTCAAGTGGAGAACAGGCAAATTCCAGGGACCCTGTTACCCTCAGTCCCTCGGCCCTGGGGTCAGGCTGCCTGGGGCTCCAGGCTCCACAGCCCTTCCTACACAAGAAGCCAGTCACACATCTGAATCGCTCTCATCTCTGGAAGAATGCAGCAACTTCCCTCCACAGAAAGGCTCAGTGAGGGAAGACTGGGGTATCCAGAACGAGAGTGTGACTCAGGTTAACGAGATTCCAGAGGTCTCTTCCTAACCCAGCCCCACGGGACCTGGGAAAGGCAGAGGCTGTGACCGCATGTGGAGGAGTGGCCATACTCTGCGTGTCTCCCCTTCTCCTACAGCTGGCCCAGAGATTAATTCTGAGGAGAGGACACCATGTGCTGGGCCCCTGGGCTGTGCCCGGGAAGCCAAGGCCAAGGAGGAGAGCTGGTCTTGATGCCTAAGGTCTCTGCTGGTGCCGGCAGCCTGGCACCCTCAGCCCCGCGGGGTGAGGCCCAGCCAATGGCTGCGGTGGTGAGCCGTGAGCCACTGCGGAGGGAGGGCGCTTACCCACTGAAGTCACTGCCCTGGGCCTGGGCCTGCCCGGCAATGGCGTCCATGATGGCGTCCTGGGAGTACATGCTGATGGGCGTGTTGTACTGTGCGTGGATGATGGTGGCCTTGCCGCCCAGCCCCTTCACCTCGATGGGCTTGTGGGTGGACAGGGCCGAGTCCTTCAGGGCATTGGGGTTGAAGCGCTCCTGGTAGTCCGCACTAGGGGGAGCAGGGGGTGCAGGGGAGGGGAGGTGGGAGGAGAGAAGGGCAACGGGTGGAGTTACCTGGGCCATCCAGGGAGGGCTGTGGAGGTGTCAAGAGAGACCACCCAAAGTCTGATCCCGGTCAGGTCAGAAATCCTCACACCTCCCCAAAGCCCTCTGCAGAGGCTGATCTTGCCCATCTGGGCTTCCCCATCCCTGGAGGTCCCCGCTCAGGTGAGCCACCGCCCAGGGCCAGCAGGGGGCGCCAGGCGTTGGAAGCTCTCACCACACCAGCCGGGAAGCAGAGACAAAATGGGTTGGGGAGAGGGGCTTGGGAGTGTGGCACACGCGCTGGGCCACGGGGCCAGGCAGCAGCAGCCCAAGCAGAGTCCAGGACGGCCAAAGGCGAAAAGCAGCCCCGCTGGGCAACCATGGAGATGGCGGCCTCGTTCCTCGGCCCGGACCTCATCCTGCCAGCCGCCCCCTGGTGGCCAGCGTTCTGCTCCTGCGGATGCTTCGGGCGGGTGAGCTTCTTCCTCAGAGCAGGGCTCTGCTCAGGCCCCCTCATGTCCCGCCTGCTGTGTGGCCACCAGTCTACCCAACAGGGCTCTCCCCTCAACAGGCAGGTGCTCCCCAGGCAAACACAAGGTCAGGGGCAGCCCGCTGAGGGTCCCACCAGGACAGAGATCTTCAGGCTCAGGAAGAACCCAGGTCAGGCGGCGCTCCCCCGCCGCCCCAGAGCCGCCTGCAGGCCTTGGGCAGCTGCCCGAGATGGAGGACTGCACGCAGGGCGTCAGGCCGAGCCCTAGCACCCCTCCCTGCGCTTCCCTCCACACTCGCGGCTTCACACATGCAGGCGCACTCGAGACAAATGCACCCCCTCGCACGCATGCACACACACGGACACATGCTGGCACAGGCACACGTGGTCCAGACTGACGCATGCTGGGATATGCACGCAAGAGCACACGCATGCTTTCCTTCGATACTAACTTGGCTGGAGAGTTGGCTATCACCTGGGAGGAGAGAAAGAGCAGGGAAGAGGGCTGTCAGGGAGGCTGGGCCAGGAGGCTCGGCCAGGGCCAGGGCCAGGGCCCACGGGGCAGAGCCACAGAGAGCGCCGAGAGGGGCGCAGAGCTGAGTCCCACAGCGGCTTTCCTCAGTGGGTCCCTAGTACCCAAAGCTTTGTCAAGAAGGGTTCTGGTCCATCTTTAAGGGCACATGTACATGCAGTCCCCACACAGCCTGGCGGAGACCCTTAGCTGCCGCTGCCAAGGCCCAGGCACCTCCTGGCCAGACAGCAGCTCTGGACGTGCCCTTGTTCAGTGGGGGCTCTGGGAGCTCTGCTCCCTGGGCAGGAGTTGCATGGCGCTAGGGTGTATGTGAGGTGGGGTGACCCACAGCCCCAGGGACCTGCCCTCCCTCTCAGGGGAGGGGCAGGCAGCCGTGGCCACTCCTCCTGGGCACAGGGGTGGGGGTCTGTGCAGGCTCCAGTGATGGCTCCTAAAGGCCCTGGATGGGCAACAGGCAGGACGAGGAGCAAGGAGGCTCAGACGTCTGGCTCCAAGGCTGATGGCAGGAAAGCCTCAGGCAGGCAGCCCGTCTCGGGTACCACAGAGGCCCTCGGCCCTCTCCTCTGAGTGAGCCTCCGGAGCACCCTCTCCTTGGGGAGCATTGCCTGCATTAATCCCTTTGAACACAAATTCCTTGCCCCAGCAGGTCCTGCCGCTATCTGAGGCCTGGAGGGGTGAGGGCGTAAGAGTGCATGTAGCCTCCTTGCCCCAAACTCTGCCAGCGTCTCAGATCTGACCACAGTGGGCTCTGACAAGGGAGCCTGGGCCCCAGCTGGCCTGGCTTTGCTCATCCTTTGGCCCAGACCCTGGGGATCCAGGCAGAGCCAGGGCCCCTGAGCAGCCTCGCCATGGCCCTGCTCAGCCTCAAGCCCGTGTGTCAGAGCTGATAAAATGTCCTCTGTCCTCCCAGTCTCAAAATAGCTGCCAGTGGCGCTATATTAGGAGAGGCCAGCACAGAGCTCCCATCCCCTCTCCATCTTTGGCCAGTGCTGACAGCTGCAGGGTCAGCTCTTGCCCTGACCAGTGTGCCCCCTGCAAAGGGCAGCCTTGACCTCTGGGGCTGCCTCTGCCTTGCCTGGGCAGCCAGCTCCTTCTTGGGCATTCATTCCTGCCCCCTGCTTAGCTCCTGTCTGCGGACCTGGGGGCCGGGAGGCCTGCAGCAGACATAACTCAGAGGCCCCAGAGCTGAAAGACCTGCCCAGGGCCCTCACAGCAGGGTGGCCTGGCGGACACTGCCTCCAGTCCAGCCCCAGAGAGAACAAGAAGGGGTGCAGGGATGCTCAGGCCCACTGTCCCTGTACCCCATTCGTCTTCTCACGCCTCCCAGGATAGACGCTGCCAGGAAAACACACTGCAAACTGCTCAGAGAGAGAGGAGAGAGAGAGTTGGGGAAGGAACTTCCTTTTAAAGCCAGACTGGACAGAGTCCAAATCTTGGCCCTGCCTCTTCCCAGCACTGACTGGGCAAGTCACTGCCTCCGCCTCCTCCTTCATGAAAGGGAGGTGGCAGCACCTGCCGCACAGACGGCTGTGCAGACTGAACGGAACACCGAGAGGAGAGCCTTGGGTGGGCTCCGTGTCCAGTGGGCGGACTCGGAGCATCTGGACACTTAGGAAGGCAGCGCCTCAGCCCAGCAGAGGCTGCCCAGGCTGGCAGCTCGCAGGCTCCGCCCTGCTGTGGCCCTGCCGGGCAGCAGCGCTGGCCTTCCTCTGGAGGAAGCGCTCCCTCCCCAGCCGCTTCCCTTGGAGGACACACTGGTCTCTGGTGCTCTGAGTGGTGCCAAGTTATACTGTAGTACTTGTCAGGCTCCCAGAAGTCCCTGTGCCCAGAGGAGGGCACCTTGGGAGTCATGGGAAAAGGAGGTGGGGCTGGCCTTGACTTCCCGGGACAGGTAGGTGGGTCTCTGTGGCTGTGAAGGGGAGGAGTCAAGTCGACCAAGGTGCCAGTCCTATCTGCCACTCATTAGCTGTGTGACCTGGGGCGAATGACTCACTCTCTCTGGGTGTACCAGCTGTGCACCCCAGGGAGTGGCGGGTAATAGTACTGAGGCACTGAGCAGCCAGAACAGAGCTCAGCGCTGTGCGGGCTGTCGCCCTCAGTCCTCCCAGCTGCCCTCCTAACCACTGACCACACGCCTCCACTCAGCCTGCTCTGCTCCGAGCACACAATTATTAGGGAGAACTAGGCCGACTGCACGGCCACGGAGAATTAGATTGAGGTAACAAGCAGGAAGCACTCAGGGACTGCACAGGCTCTGCTGGAGGCTCCTTCCACCCCACCCCCCACCCCAGGCCCCCCGCGCCCCCCGCTGGCTCTGGGTTTTTAATTCCTATGCTCACAGGGTCCTACCAGCCAGACCTCAGCAGGCAGGGTGGGCTGCTATTATGCACAGCCCCCTTCTCCTTGGGGTCCTGCTTCCTTGCAGCCCCACCCCAGCAGGGTCAGTACTGCAAGCCCACCCCCTTCACACCGCTGCCAAGTCTCTCTGAACCCAGCTGAGATACTTGCCCCTCCAGGCAGCCTTCCCAGACCAGTTAGCCTTAGAGAGCTGCCTTCCCACCTCTCTAATTCCTCCTTGCCCCTGCCTCCAGGCTTCCGGAAGGGTGGAGATGAGCCTGTCCCCTGCCCTGGAGCTCCTGGGGGCAGAAGGCTTTGTCCTCTCCTGTGTGTGTGTGTGTGTGACAGTTTTGGGTGTCAGAGTCTCTTGCATTCAAGCCCAGCTCGGCCATTTAGTTGCTGGACAGCTGGACTTTGACTTAACCCTTCCCAAGTCTGTTTTTCCCTCTGCAAATCCAATCCATCCCCCAGGTCGTTGTGCAAAGCAATGAGCGTGGCCCACGCTGACGCCAGCAGCAGCTGCTCCCACTCAGCCTGCAGGCCCTCCTGGGGTTGGGGCTGGCGATGGAGTCCAGCTCCTCACTCTGATCACCTGACCAGGCTGTCTGAGCACTGAGGACCCAGGTGGCCCCGGACCACCTTGGAGAGCTGTGCCCATTACCTACCCTCCTGGGAGTCCAGCACCTGAGGCCTTTCCTCGGAGGCTCATCTGATACAGCTGAGCCATCTCCCTCAGCGTCTCCGCTGAGTACAGGCCAATGGGGTTGTTATACTGCCTGGGCTGGCTCGCGCCCTGGGGCGCTTTCGGGCTGAGCGAGTGCAGGGCTCCCTCCGAGCTGGTCTTGGCCCCCGGGCTGCCCTGAGGAGGACCCGGGTCAGAGGCCTCCATGTGGGAGGAGGAGGCACCTAAGGCCTGCCTGACCTCCGGGCCCGGGCCGGCCCGCACCTCGGGGTTGGCGTCCAGAGCAGGGTCCTGGCACAGGGTGGCCGCCATGCAGGGGAGAGAGAAGAGAGCAGTGAGAGGCCACACGCATCCAGCGCTTCTGTGTGGACCTGAAACAGAGGGTTAGTGCCGGCCGCGCAGCTGCTGCTCTGGGCTCAGGGGGCAGACAGCGCACCTGGAAGAGGGCGTTTGTCAGGAAGAGCAGGAGGCACAGAGCTCTGGCCCAGGGCTGGCGCCCCCTGGACAGAAAGCCAAGCCGAGCCAAGCCACCTGCCTGCGGGTAGAGGAGGCTGGAGCAAGGACTGTGGGTGGGTGGGGGCACCAACTCCACTCCATGTCTGCTTCTCCTTCTCCTGAGTAGGGACCCCTGGTGGGCAGAGCCCAGCCTCCTGTTCTGACCCCACACTGATGCCCCCACATGGCCAGTGAAGGCCCAGCTGGCAGTGGGCAGGCAGAGCGGAGGTGCAGGAGGGGAAACCGAGGAAACGGGCTGTATTTGGCCCCTGGGCTCACCTCTGCAACTTCCCCTGAGCAGCCTCTGCCTATGTCCCAATCTGCCACCCTCCAAGCCCGTCAGCCTTCCTCTCCCCTCATCCAGTCCCGTGCCCACTCTGCCTCAGTGAAGAAACAGGGGTCAGTATAAGGTCATGCCAGGAGGGGAGGTGGGGTGGACCTCCCCGGCCTGGGGCCCACAGGGCTGAGCTGCTTAGAGGAAGCTGGGAAGGAGCCTGGGGCACAGGGCGAGGTCTGTGGCCAGGGCTCCACCTTCTCTCCTGCCTCCTGGTCACCACCAGCATTTGGGGCTGGGCTCTATGGCTATGCAGTTGGGAGGAATGGAAATCGGAGGAAGAAAGCCTAGATTGGAGGAGAAAACCCAGGCCCCTCCACACCCAGGGCCTCCTCCAGGATGCCCGCTCAAGCTGGGCTTCCAGCTCTCCTGCCACAGTCCCCTGTCCCCGGCCTCAGGAAGGGGAGGGTCAGAGCCCTGGACACTGTGCCCCTGGCTGTGAGGACGCGGCCTAAGCTGCTGGCACGTGGGCCTAGCCATGAGGCCCTGGCAGGTGGCACCCAGGCAGGCTCTCCTCTCCCAGGGCCGGCCGCCTTCCCAGGGTCAGTGACGGCGGGCAGTGGTGGGGCAGGACTGACCCCTTGCCATAGGACTGCACCCCAGAAGCCGCGTCTGGGAGTGGAGTCGGCCACCAAGTCAGCACCTACCTTCTGGTGGGGGATCACTGGCAGAGGAGACTGGATCGGGGGCGCTGCCGTGGAGATGGGAATGGGTCGCTTCGACCTGGAGAAACCAGAAATGAGGCCACGTGAAGACAGTCACGCCTGGGCTAGGAGCTCCGCGGAGAGCCATGGAGGCCAGGCAGAGAGCCCGAGACCCACTGCCCACCGCGCAGGCGGGTGGCTCCAGGAAATTGCTCATTTAACCAAGGTGGAAAAGCATGGCCTGGGCACTGGGCAGCCACGGGCCTCTGCTGGGGCCTTGGGGGGCTGCCTGGAGGAGAGAAAGCAGGGGAGGCCTGGCTTCCAGGCCTGATGGCCCACGCCTGGCAGCACCAGACCCACCCTCCCAGCCTCGTCTGTCTAGTGAAGCACAGACGTGGAGGTGCTTGATGATGACTTGGGCCTGGTCCTCCTCTGGCCAGCTGCCCTGCGAGACCTTGGGCACAGGACTGGGCCCACCCCCAGCCTCTCCGTCTGGAGGGCTCCACCTACTTCTGCAGGGTGAGGCTCAGGTTGTAGCTGGCGGACTTGATCTTGTTCTGGGCCTCCAGATGGGTCATGGTGTCTGTGTTCACGCCGTCGATGGCTACCACGAGGTCCCCCTGGCTGAGCTGGGACTGTGCTGCCTTGCTGCCTGGTGTGATCTGAGAGGGCGCAGATGGGGGATGAGCATCAGAAGGGTGGGCCTGAGGTTGGGTCAGGCTTCGGGGAAGCGTCACCTGGAGTCATGGGTAGAGGCCTGCCATTTTGTCTTATACTGTGGCTGGCACCGCGGATCCCCAGCCGATCCCTCCTGCTGGCACACAGCCACCACATCTCCTAGTGCCTATGTCTGCGTGTGGCTGGTGGATGTGGAGGGAGGTGGTGCACGCCGCCCCCCAGCCTGTCCCCAGCAGTCAACCTCGTACCCTGCACCCTGCACTCTCTCTTCTCGCCGGCTGACTGCATGCAAAGGACCCAGAGGACAGCTGAGCTACTAGCAGAAGAGACCTGAGCCCTGGGGCTGCACTTAGAGAATGACCACAGCGCGCTGCACTGGATGCTGCTGGAGTGAGAAATGAACTTTCCCTGTGCCGAGCCATTGGGCTACACGGGCTCTTGCCACACCAGTTTGCTTACTGCACCACCTGCACCTGAGAACCCACGAAGCACCTCCCAGGCTCCAGGAGGGAGGCGATAGGCCGGAGCAGGCTCAGCACCACCACAGAGATGCTGCCAGGTCACAGGTAGGATGAAGCCCCTCACAGAGCATCCTCGTGTGAGTGCCTAGAGCTGCCAGGCAAGGGAGCCCAGCAGGCTGGGTGCTGTCAACCCTGCCGGGTGAGCAGGCTGGCACACGGGGCAGGGCTTGGTGCTCTGAGGCCATCATCCTGCCAGAAGGGGAGGTGTGCTGGTGGGGGCCAGGGTTAGGGGGCCAGTTCCCTAACCCTGCACCCTAATGACAACATAGAATGTTATAGTCTGCCCCCCTGCCCCCGCATCACAGAATGCCAGGCCTGCACCACCTGGAGCACCCCACACAATGCCAGGAAGGCCACACCCAGGAACATTACGTGGGACTCTGGCTCCGGCCCACTGACATCATGGGCAGTGCCCCGCTCTACACACCTGGCCCCGCCACAGCGCCTGGGGCTGTGGAGACCCGCCAGCAGGGCCAGCACGGGAGACTCTGGAGGCCTCGTGACGACCTGAAATAGTTTGGTGGCCGCTGCGGGGACATTCCGGGGAATGTGATGAAGCCCCACCTCTAAAGACGCCTGAGACGCCTGAGGACACGCCAGGTGGCCCTATGCATCACTGGAGTGACCGCAACGTGTGGAAGGCCAGGCAGGCCCCACCCCGAGTGGCGCTGGGAAGAGAAGCCTGGCTTTGCCTCCCCAACTGCCCACCAGCCAGCCTTCCTGGTTCTCTGGGCACATGGCCCCACCGTCCTGGCTGGGCCCAGGGACGAGGCTGGCTCCCGATGCTGGCAGACATTCTTTTCCGGCCAGGGTCTCGGGACCATCTTAGAAGGAGCCAGAGAGGATGCGGGGACAGTCACCTGTCCTTGGGTGTCAAGCCTCACAGGGCTTTGGCCCAGCAGGACTCTCCCCTAAGCCAGAGCCCTGCGGCCACTGCCCGCCAGCCTGTGCCCAGGTGCGCTCGGCAGGGCGGCCCGAACCGAGCGGATGACCCCGTGACCACAGCAAGAGTGCTACCTGCTTGCACAGCCACCTCTGCCCAGAGCAGCCTCCCGCCCTGGGTCTGCTGAGACCATGAGGACAGGAAAGAAACGAACCCAGGACGCGGCTGGCAGTGCGCCTGCAGTCCAGCCTGCTCCCCAGGACTTCCGAGCTACCGCTCGGCCCGCCTCTCACACTGCACACCACCCTCCTGCCGGCCCAGGCCCAGAAGCCTCCACCAACACAGGCGCTAAACGGGCCCCAAAGCAACAGCAAAGGAACACAAAACGCCGCAGGCTGAGAAGGGACTCCTGAGGCAGGAGCCGCTCCCTCCTCCTGGCTTCTTCCGGGCTGTGCTCTCCCAGCATCTCATACAGACACTGTCTCCAAAAGCGGAACAGACTTACTCTGAACACCCAAACACCCCCCACCAAGGCTCTAATCCACGGTGACCTTTCACTCAACTTGCTGCTCCACGTGCCGGTCCCTCCTCCACCCACCGGGCCAGCTTCGCCAGAAGCACTTCAGAGAAAGCACAGCCCCGGGGCTCCCACTGGGATGAAGTGAGCAGGCCACTGCCCTCCCGCGGACTGCCCGCAGGGGCCCCCAGCCCACTCCCCCACACCAGGGCTCCCCAGATGCTTCTAAGGAACCACAGAGAAGGCCCACCACCCTGCGGCAGGGAGCTCCCAGGTGAGGGGGTGCTGTCCACACAGACCCCGGACAGCAGGGCAGGCCTGCTGCCTACAGAAGTGATAACTGCCAGACAGGCCCAGAGCCATGTCCAGAACATGGTGGCTGACAGGGTGAGCAAGGACACCAGAATGACATCCAAGAGAGGCTGGGCCAGATCAGCTCAGGAAGGGGGTGGAGGTGGGGATGGGGAATCTGGAATGTCCTGCGCTTGGAGCCCCTCTGGGCACAGGCTGGCTCACACCAAACTTCCCCTTGCCAGGCCCTGCCTTGCTCCCGGCAGCCTCAGGTACCCATGGGTGGTCCTTGTCCCCAGGGTAGAGCTCGGCCTCCCTGAGACCAGGCTCCTCTGCCCCTGGCGCCTCCCTCCCTGCACCTGTGTCTGCCCATCCTGGCTCAGCTGCCTGGCCTTTGGCCACTGAGCAGATCCAGGACCCTGGCTGCCACCCTCCTGCAGGGAGTGCTCTTCAGTTCTGCCAGCTTTCCACAGAGAGGCGGGGTGCATGCTGGGATCTCCAGCTGGGCCCAAGGGTCATCACATCCCTCCCCACCGCAGGAGAGGTGGGCCCACAGAAGGGTGGGGCACCCTGCGCTCTTGCCCGGAGCCCAGTGCTGTGAAGGGTGCGGTCCAGGCATAAGACACACATGGGCCTCTTGTTGGACTCTATCCCTCTCTGCTTTCCTCACCCCAGGAAGGACCCAAAGCAGCCAAATCCTTGGGGGTTTTCTTTTCTTTCGTTTTTCTCCTCTTAAGCATTTGAAGGGCTCTTTGTAATCGTTGCTTCATCCCACTGCACTTTCCGCCTCTCCCGTCACCAGCTGGGAGCCAGTCCTGGCGGAGCTCCAGGCCCGCGTCTCAGCTCACAGGTTCCCGCAGATGGGCTCAAAGTGCTTGGGGCCAACACTGCCACCAGGAGTCCTTCCACCTGCTGAGCCGGGCCTTCAGGGGCCCCAGGGGGCACAGGGCTAACGATGCCAGCGAGCAGCTGTGGCCCCACCACCTGCAGGGGCCCGTGGGGAGGAAGTGAAGGGACGAGCATGGACTTTGGTCTGAGCCAGACCTGAGGTTGCAGTGCCAGCCCCGTGCCCTGTGCGTGTGGAGAGGACACCCTGGTCCCAGGACTGCGAGCATTGCCCTGTTACCCGGGAATTGTGTACCGCGGGCACAGAGCTGAGGGAGCTTCAAGGAAGCTCCCAACTGAGGAGCCAAGTGCTGCCCCAGCTCCTCCCCTTGGAGGAGCCTGCGGGGCGGGGCGGGGCGGGGAGGCTGTATCCCTGGCTCCAGAACGAGAGCCAGAGCCGGCAGAGTGGGGTGCACAGGGCTTCCCTGGCTGAGCAGCCTCAGCCACCTGCTGCCCCTGGAGGGCCTCGCACCCGCCCGGGAGAGATGCTCTGTCCAGGCTGCCGGGGAAGCAAGGCGCCGGTGGGGCTCAGAGGCACCCGTGCCACTGGCTCCTGTCTCCTCAGTTTCCAGGCCGCTGGCAGCGGAGGGCAGCTGGAGGGCAGCTGCGCTCCCCGAGGAAGTCCCCAGCCATCTCTCCCGTGCTCAAAAGCAGACAGGCCCTGCCTGCCTCCCGCTCCAGATTTCTCCAGTCAGGGTGATGGGAGGGGTGCGGGGGTCGGGGGGAGCAAGGGCAGCCGGTGGATGCTGGGATGGTGTCGCTTCCAGCATCTCCTCCCCACCCTTCCTGGAGGCCCATCCCGGGGGATTTCCCGTGGAGCCCTAAGTGCATCTAACATTGTGCGATTAGATTACTGCCTGCCACGCTCTTAGAGTCCCATCTGGACTCCCCTGGGGCCTTGCTCCATCCCCCACCCTCCTACTGGAAACTTCTGTCTCCCCATGGCCCCACTTCCAACCCCAGCCTGGCCAATAAGCACGGCAGGGTCTTATCTAAGCTTAAAAAGCGTCTCCTTGCACAGAGGGTTCTAGGGCAGGGAAAACACTGTGCACTGGATGGTAAACGCATGTCATCGAACATTTGTCCAAAACCACAGGATGTATAACAACAGGAGTGAGCCCTAATGAACCAGTGATGATGATGTATCCATGGAGGCTCATCAGCTGTAACCACTGCACCACTCTGGTGGGAGAGGCTGACAATGGGAGGCTGTGCATACGCAGGGGCAGGGGGAGGGGGTGATGGAAAATCTCTGTACGTTCCCCTCAATTTTACTGTGAACCTGAAACTGCTCTAAGAAAACAGTCTAAAGATAAAGTCTCTCCCCGCTGTCTGACCTGCTCCAGCGCCTCCTGGCACGTTCCCCTCCCTCCTCACCTCAGGCTTCCTCAAGAAGGGACAGCAGGCCCTGCCTCCGCCACCTCCCAGCGGCTCACACCAGCCATCTCGCTCTGGCCCCTACACTCCACACAGGACAACGACTTCCCTGTGCCCAAAGCCAGGGGTCCCTGGTTCTCTCCAGCTGACCACACCATCCCCTTCCCTGGCCCTCCGAGGGTCTCTCGAGAGCTCTCCTCCTCCAGTCCAGGCCCACAGCTCCGTCTGTGTCCGGGAGGTCGCCTGCAGAACGCTCCCGGGGGCACATCCCGCCCGGCGGCCTGCAGAGTACTGGGACACGGCAAAGTCCCTCCAACCCTCTTAAGACGCTTCCTGGGGAGAGGGGAGGCGTGGTCCTAGGGGCCTTTGCAACGACGGGACTCTGCCCTGGACGGGAGGGGCCTGTGTAGAGAGGGACAGAGCTCTCCCAGCCTGGAGGGCCGCCCAGCAGGGCCCAGGGGCCTCCTCACGCTTGCTGCCGCCGCCCTGGAGCCTGAGGCGGTCCATGAAGTCGGCCCAAGGCCTTGGAGGTTCTGGTCCCTAGGACCCCAGCCAGCCTCGTGCCCACTGCCTTCGGGCGTCACAGGGCAGGGAGGTCTGCCAGGGAAGGCCTGCCGGGGGGCGGCTAAGACGCATTCCCGTGGAGGGCCTGTGGGCTCTCCAGTGTGCTCCTGGGTGGGGGCGCCTGGGAGGCTTGCCTGACCTAAAGGCTATAAACAGCTCGGCCTGTCAGCACTTGGAGGCGCTGCCCAAGCAGCAGCCCCAGCAGCTCTGGATTCCAGGAATTACCGGCACAGCTGCCCCGGAATAGTCCTGGCCTTCCCCTCCCTGGGGACCCTCTGTGCTCTGGTCCCCACTGGAGCTGGCAGAGTCTGACAAATACTGGAGCTGAAGACTGCCAGCTGGTCCACAGGGCCGGTCCCTGCCTGCCCGCCCAGGCTGAGGCCCCCTCCCGCCATTCTCACAACTAGTGCCCGGGGACAGCAGGTGCCAAGGACTCCACAGGTGCCCGTTGGTTCCATAGCATCTCACAAAGGCACTGTCTTCCTTTTACAGGGTGAACCCACCTCTCCAAGGTGACAAGCTGGGAGGAGCAGAGCTGGACAACAGCACACGCCTCTCCCATTAAGGGGAGGACCCAGTGTGCACCCAGGGGCAAGGCCCAGAGCAGGCCCAGACTCTGGGCCAGTGGCCGGCAGGGCTGGCACAGACTGGCACAGGTGGGCGGGCCTTTGTTGCTGCTCCCACCCCTCCCCAACTTCCTGGAGAACTGGCTGGGGTGGGGAAGGCGGGGAGAGGGCAGCTCCAGTTGCAGGCCCAGCACCTGTCCCGGATAAATACGGCCCTTCCCTCCACCCTCTGAGTCTCCTTTCTGAACCCCCTTCTCTATGGTCCTCAGGCTGAGACCCACAGAAAGGAGGCCGGACGGGCTGCTGCTGTCCCAGGGGAGATGCTGAGGGGCCTGTGGGCAGGATGGGGTGGGTTGAGCTCCCACCAGCCTGCAGGTGGCAGGCGGCGGCCTTTTCACAGGAGGAGCTACAGCTGACAGGTGCCTGGCCCCACTCAGTGCTCCTCTACCAGACCCAGCCGGAGGGGGGAAGGGTCAGGCGTGGGGGCAGGGATCGCCACAGGAGCTCCTGTGCAAATTCAAGCCTGTTTGCTTGGCTCTGACCCTGCCTGGCTGACCACCCGCTCTGGATTCAGTGCAGGTGGTCGTGAGGGAGGCTTCTGCTGAGAAGGGGCAGGCCCTGCCCCCGGGAACCCTCCTCTGCAATATGCCCCCAGTCCCCGAGCACCCACTGGTCCCTGTGGGAAGTGAACTGCAGCTGGAGTGGCCCTGCACCCCCATGGGGGAGAAGTTCCTGGTGCAGAAGGGCCTGGAGAAGCCCAGCAGGCAGAACCACAGCGCTGGGGGAGGGCAGGGCTGGGGGCTCGGGCAGGCCTGCAACACGGAGCCTGCGGCACCCCAGTCTGGGGATCAGCAGCCACCAGAGCAGCTTACCAAGAGACTCCAAGCCCCGGGGAGGCCCGGCGCCCTGTCCAGCTTGCTCCATGGCCTTGGTAACTTGGGGGGTGCCCCTGTAGGAAGCAGGGAGGCCATGTGCCCTGCCCTGATGCCTTGTCTGGGCTGCAGGTTCTATTCTTAAAAGTCCCCCTAGTCATGGCTCCAGCACATCCCAATACACCTGGTGCCTGCAGTGAGGACATGCTTCCTCCTGCCTAGCTTCAGGCCTCTGTGCTGCATCCAGCCTCGCTGGCCAGGCCAGGCGGCACCTAGTCCCCGGCGAGGTCATGGCCATCCTGGCGTCACTGAGCCAGGAGGCTGATCTCCACCCCAGGGATGGGGCAGGGAGCCCCAGAAGGAGGCCTTGAGGATGGTGGGGCTGGGGCTGGGGCAGGGTTGGGCTCAGTCCCAGGTGGGGTGGCCAGGGGACCTATGAGAGTGAGAGTGGACAGGGAGGAGACTGCAGCCATGGGATGGGAACATGCAGGGTGTCCTGGGCTCAGAGGCCCATGTCACCACACCCCGAGGGAGGGAGTGCAAGCCCTGGCTGTCTTCTGAGTATGGCCCCCGGCTCCCGGCCCGTAGTCTGGAGGGTGTGGGCTCAAGTTGGAATGAGCCAGGTCTCCAGGACGAGGGAGGCTAAGGTCGTTTCCCGGGCCAGCACCCCACCCCTGAGAAATGCAGCCTGAGGGGCTTTCCTTGGGGTCCCTCCAAGGGCCTACATCAAGTTCCACAACCAGGACTCCTCCAGTGGGGGTGTTGGCTTCCCACCACCCTGCCAAGCAGCTGTCAGGTCTTCCCCAGCTGCCCACCTCGGTGCTTCCCTGTCCTGAGAAAACGCTATCTTCCAGGTGGGCAACAACCAGACACTCCTACCCACCCACCACCCTCCCGTGACAGCCCGGGGCCTCTGCCGGCCCCCTCGTGCCCACATCAGGACTGCTGGGGGCTGCTCTATGCCTCACATACCTCACAGTCCACCCCGGGACCCAGGGCCTTCAGCCCCAGCTCTGCAAGACTCGCAGAGTCCCTTTCCTTGACAAATGTTGCCTGAGCATCTATGCTCTAGGCTCTGGGGTGGGTCCTGGGGACTCGGCAGTGGTTAAGACAAGGTTCTCTCAGCAGATCTAGCTGCTCCTCTCGCTGGGTGTCAGCGCCCCAGCAGTCAGCCGTCTGTGAGCTGCCCTCGGGCAGTGCCGTTCCTGATTGCAGGCAGACCCGGCAGGACAGGGTCATGTTCCCTGGCGGGCGGGCCGGCATGGGAGTAAGATGTGAGACAGGAAGGTAAGCAGCCCTGGTGAATGGGCAGGGGCTTAGGCAGGTGAGGGAGGAAGGCCCACCTCAGGAGGCCAGCCAGTGCCAGGTCCTTGGAGGGGACGCTATCTTGGGTCTGAGACGGAATGGGTGCTGGAGCCCAGGAACCAGCCGAATCCAGCCCTGAGCCCCGACAGCGAGGTGGGCAGTCGGCCCATCTACCTATCCGCCCCCGTTACCTGCCCACTCCACCCTGTGGGTGCTCTCTCCCCAAAGCCCACTTCCAGGGAGACACTCCCGGCCTGGGGGCACCCTGAGCCCACCCTGCCGAGGAAGGACTATCCTCCCTTCCCTATCTGCCAGCCCTTCTTGGCTTAAAGCACCCTCAGCTTGCCCATTACATTCCACATTTCGCAGGCTGGCCAGTTTGGCAGGCAAACAGCTGCGGCAGAGACCAGGGGGCTATGGCCGGCAACATTCAGTTGGCGTCAATCCCAGCCCCCAACTGCGGGTGGGGTGTGCTCTGATTTTCAAGAGCCTTGAGGAAGACGGACAGATGGACAGACACACTGTTCTCTGAACATGCCAACCCTGCAGCACCAGGCCGCGGCAGCGCACTCACCCGGGAGATGGTGAGCGGCATGTTGAAGTCCTTGCCCCCTTGCAGACGGAAGCCCCAGGGCCCAGGCCCCGCCAGGGTCACGCTGTAAGACATGCTGGTGCGGACAGCGACAGCCTCTGTGGACGGAGGAGTGGGGTGAGAGGCCCTCGCACACCCTCCCCAGCCCAGGCCTCTGCCCGGATCCCCACCCCCGGCCCGGCCGTGCCTGCTCTGTCCCTGGCTGTCGGCTGGGCTGTGTGGCGCTTCTGAGAGGCTCCTAAGAATAGCTGGGAACAAATGCCATCGACACTGATATCTGCCCTCTGCTGCGCCCATAAATGGGCTGTAACCCTACACTGTGCCCGCCCGTCCAGGCCTCCCAAGCAGTCCACCATGACTCATACGGCTAATATAGCCCCTGGGGAGGGGTGTCCAGCACCCAGCACCCCGAGGCCAGGACGGGGACTGGCCAGGTCAGTGACAATGCTCTCGCCTCCCTCTCTCCCCTCCTTGCTCCCTCTACCTGGAGAGCAGGACGCACGCTCTCTCCCCAGCTGCATCACTTCTGGCCCGGAAGACATAGCTGAACCCCTTGGGCAGGGCTCTGGGGCTCTGGTTATGCTGCCTTGTGCTCTCTGGTGAAAGGCTGTACCTTGTGTGGCCCGGAGCCCTGGTGGTCCTCAGGGCAGGTGAGCCTCCAGCTGGCCTGCACGGAGCCCCATCTCTGGAGGCCTGTCACTGGCCCGAGGTGGTGCCGGCCCAGCAGCGATCATCATGCTGGCCTGCGTGGCTCAGTGCTTAGAGTGTCAGCCCGCACCAAAGGGTCTCGGGTTTGATTCCTGGTCAAGGGCACGTGTCTGGGTTATAGGTTCAACCACTGGCCCCAGTTGGTCAGGGCACATGTGGGAGATAGACAATTGATGTTTTTCTCTTTCTCCCCCCTCCCCTTCTACTCTCTCTAAAAATCAGTGGAAAAAATACCCTTGGGTGAGGATTAACAACAAAAGCTCATCCTAACAGCAGCAGCTGTGGGCATGGCTGAGCTCAGCTCCAGGCCCTTCACAAGCTCATCCCCTCAGACCCGAGAGGCGGGGCCTCAGCCGGAGCCCGGCTCCGAGAGGTGCCTGTCCCAAGGTCACGCAGGGTGAGGACTCGGCCGCCCTGGAGCCTGGGCTAAGTCCCACGGGACTCGGGCCAGAAACTAGCTCCCCGTGGCCACAGGTGCCTCCCAATGCCCAGACTGGGGGTGGGGCGTGGGGGGAGGTCTTGCCTGCACCCCTGGGCACAGGGCCTGAGCGCAGGCCCCGGGCAGGCTCACACCCCCAGACCCTCGGGGCCAGGGGTTATTCCTGGCCCTCCTGGCTCGCTTGCGCTGGAAAACCTGACAGCAGTATGGAAAGCTTCAGCTGCCAGCAGGCACGTCAGGCCTGTGCCCTTTGCGCTGGAATGGCAGGGGGCAGGGAGGAGGAGAGATGCCATTTGCTCAGCTGCTGGGCCAGGGGCCAGGGGGGCAGGGAGGGCAGCGTGTTCAGTGTGTTCAGCCCACAACCCTGAGACAGCATGTTCTGGGAGGACCTAGGACCCTCGGGACTCCTGCCAGGGTGGCCTCTGGGCCAGGAAACCTGCAGAAGCCTTACCCCAGAGGAGACCTCAGGCCCTGGGTTGTCTGGAGAGAGATCAAAGCTCGCCCTGGCGCCTGGCCGGGGAAACTGAGGCTCGGAGAAGGCACTGGCTGAGCTGTGCCCTGGCCTTCCCACAGGGCTGGCCTGGGCTGGGCCCAGCACTGAGCGCAGGCCTGGGCGTGAGCAAGTGAGTCCCCGTGGCCAGCACCCGCCTCGGGCCTGGGCCTGGCGCAGACAACGTGCCGGTGCCAGGAGTCCCCATATCACAGCAGCATTTGGCCGCTGGCCCGAGATCACAAAACTGCCACTTGGAAGAAGCCAAGGAGGCACTGTGTTCCTTCCTCCACGTTCCACCTCCTCTCCCTGTGTCATGTAGCCCAGCCTGTTCTCCCTGCTGCGCCTGGCAGGAGGCCAGCAGCTCGAAGCGCCCCTTCCCTCCCCCCACCAGCCCCTGCCCTTCCCCCACGCCCCTCCCTCCATCCTGGCTCCAGCCCTATCCCCCCTCCTAAGGAGGCCTGTCCTTCCAGGACCCAGAGGACCAGCAGCGTGAACAGTGTGGGGAGAGGCAGGAAGGGGAGGAGGGGGAGCCGAGGCTGTACCTGGAGATGCAGGCTCTTCTCTGGACTTGCGGACCTGCCTGATGCTGCCTGGGAAAGGGAGGGCTAGTAGGAAGGATGCTCTTAAAGGTGAAGGCCAGCCCCTCCCCCCCATCTGCCTCCCCTGGGAGACCCAAGACAGCCATTGAGCAGCTGGTACCCACAGGCTGGGTGGGAGCCGCTTCTGGTAACAGCAGCTCGCTGGCTAGTGGGGTGAGGGCAAGCCTGAGGGCAAGCCTGATCTTTGTCCCTTCTCCACTCCTCCCCTCATAGTTTGAGACAGGAGCCTCGGGAGAGAGTCACAAGGTGGGGAAAAGAGGGGAGGGAGGAAGAGAAACTGCTGTGGGCCCACACTCTTCAGGCCTGCAGTTTCTCTCCCATTTTGGCATCAACAGATAGAGACCAAGTTTGTCGAGACTGCTGCTTTTTATTTCCCTCTACCCTGTCTGAGCTGCACAGCCGGGGATGAAGGCCACTGATTTACTAGTAAAAGAAATCGCAGGTGCAGTGCGTGCGCACACGTGCTCAGGGCATGCGGGTATGTGCCCGACAAGGAGCGTGCGCACGAGCGGGGGACAGTGCAGGCAGCGCTGCAGGGAGAGGCCAGGGCGAGGAACAGGCTCCCGGTGGAGGGAGGCGCGTGCCAGCCTCCGGGCCTGAAGCACCGTCACGGGCGTCGCTCGGACAGGACAGTCACACACGCACTTGCGGGGAGCAGCTGCCGGAAGCAGGAGGCCTGGCTCCACTGCTCAGGCTGAGCCTGGGGAGCAGGCTGCCCGGATGAGAAGTGGGTGCAGACCCCTTGGCGTGGCAGAGTTTTGTGTTTTAGGCTGTGAATCCAGCACACCACGGTGACAGGGCCACTCCAAGGCCCACAGCTCATGGGCTGATCCTGGGTCTGTGCGAGGGGCCTTGAGGGGCTGGACGTGTCCCAGAGGAAAAGGAGAGCCAAGGGGGCCCTACATCCTGGGGTCCGGGCTAGGGAGCAGCCCCTTGGTCTGAAAAACAAGCAGCACACATCTGTTAGCCCAGGACTGTCTCCCTCCCCCCTCCCCACCCCCACACCCAGCCTGTGGGAGCAGCCTCCGGTGGCCCTCTGCAGTGAGGGACAGTGCCTGAGGGCAGGCTGTCCTGGGTCAGGGTGGGCCTACTCTGAGAAGCGGCACATGGCCTGAGAGATGGAGCCAGAGTGTCTAGGTGCCTGCAGGGGCCCCCAGGTCCCTAGGCTCCTAGGTCTGGACTGAGATCCCTCCACCCCACTGTCCATTTCGCCACTGTCCTCATTTCTCTCCCTGTGCTGGGGCACCTCCACCCCCCCTGCTCGCCCTGCCCCCTCGCTCCTCCACACCTCAGTCCTGCTGCCCTACAGCACCGCTTCCTCCGGGCCTCTGCCGCAGCTCACTCATCCAACCTGCCCTTGCGGGCCACACAGAGGCCGGCAGGGCAACATCCTCCCAGGGTCCGCCCACAGCACCAGGCCTGGAGAGCCCTCTGGCCAGCGCTTGAGTGGCTTTCCCAAGGCTCCTGCCACCTCCTGCCCTCTCCTCCCCCTGCCCCCAGCTCCCAGGGCCCTTTGGCTGCTTCTGAGGTCACAGGGCAACGTTCTGTCCCAGGATCCTGAGGGCCCCTGGGCCCCCTCATTCACACAGCTGTTCCCTCAGCCTGGTCCCTCCTCCCCCACTCTGCCTGGCAACCCCCCCTACACCCCCTTTCCCTGGGAACCCTTGGGGCCTGGCCTCGGCTCCCACATCCTGTGTGCTGATCCTCGGTGGCAGTGCTTGGCACCGGTTAGGAGCCTGCCGATGAGCCACCCCTTTTCCCAGCCCGGTGTGCCCCCAGGCCAGGCACTGTGGCTTTTGTCATCGCCCCCCAAGCCGGGGCGCAGGCATGCCTCTGTCCGGCCCCTACGCCTGTGCACGATGCAGGGGGCTCAGGGCTGGGGAGTGAGTCCTCGTGGGGCTGAGCATGGGGGAGCGGTGCTCCCTGAGCCACTGAAGTTGGAGGGGGCAGAGGCTCCAACTGTAGGGGCAGCCTGGGCTCCCCTCTCTGGGACATGCAGGAGGCAGCCTTGGAGAAGGACAGCAGAAAAGTGCCTGTGGTCTGGGCCTTGCTAGGGAAGCTCAAGAAAGCCCAGAAGCCGGGGGTGTTGTGTGGGTGGGGGTGGAGGACGGGTGGGGGAGGCGGCCTCAGGGCCTGTGCGCGTGGCATTTCCATGTTCCAGAATATGGCCTTCTCTAATCGCCACTGGCATTCCGTTCCATAGGCACTTGGGCGACAGCTGGCTTTCTTTTAATAGCCACAGTATTCTGGGTGACACCCTGGTCGCCGGGCACTGGCAGCGAGCACACACACGGCATGCACCCCCACCCAGGTACGCCCAGCTACACAGAGGTGCGCACCACCCACACTTGGTGACACGCAGAGCTTAGAGAGACGCATCAGGGAGCGCTCTGCTCCTGTGGGTCGCAGGGACAGCATGTGCGAGCACAGGTCGCACACACGAGCGCTCATGTGTGCATCTGTCCCAGCACAGAGGCCACCGCCACGGCTGCCTAGTGTGTCAATCACAGTCACAGACGCCCTCAGGCCTGCTCAGAGACTCTGAGAGTCA